GACAAGTAGGGCTTGCTCTGTCGACCTACCTGGCCTTGCACCAAATTGGGTTGCCGGGAGGAGATTATTGTCACGGGTTTCTAGCGCGTTCCTTGTAGTCCTTTCCAGCAAGCGCTAGCTGACGGTTTGTCTTTATTTGTTATTTGCTAATTGTTGTTTGTTCTGGTTTCTAGCGCGTTCCTTCCAGCACGCGCTAGTTGATGGTTTGTCTTTGTTTGCTGTTTCTTAATTGTTGTTTGTTTGATTCACTCATTGCCTATCGCCTAGCGCCTACCAGCGAGCCGTATATATGGCCGCCGCCTCTCGTTTCTTTTCTTTTTCTCTTCGTACTACGTTTTATAGTTATTCCTTCACCATTTGGTTGAAATCCAGTAAACTATATTAAGATCCACCTCACTACCGTGATACTAGAGGCCTTCTGATTTTATGTTCGCTGCTGATAAAGCGTGAGAGGATTACTATGGAACTAGTAGCTGGTGGTTAAACGATGATCTTTCGATTTACTTCAGGAGACATATTCCTAGAGTCTAGCATACTATAATCCGAATGATCCGGATGACTACGGTATTGCCATTGTGTAGAAACCGAGCCAGCAAATGATTCAGACGTGAGTCCTTATCCTACTATCTCATCATGACGTCTCGGCCGCCTTCCAGGACGGCACGACCTTTGGGCCAGCCAAACTGAGAGCAGTGCTTGTCAGTGAGAAGAAAGTCCCGACAGCCGTAAGGAGCTCAAGCCTAGAGATGCAGAACCTAAGTCCCGTTAGCAGCTAAACCAAGTTTATGCATTAGTACGTACTCTTGCGAACTAAGACCGATAAACCCAATCCAGAAGATCCATTGCGTAAACCAAAGAAGGGCCATGCTCATAGTCGTAACCACATATATTTTCGCCAGCTCTTTTGAGTGGTCTCGGCCTCGAACGGGAAGACTTCTATGCATCGTCGCGTAATTTCTTTCCCTGCTAATGAACGGGGATGTTTCTCTCATCCCTCTAAACTTACTCTTTTCCATCCAATAATTTTCCAGCTCTTCGCCAAGCCATATGCAAAGATTATCGACCTTTGCCATTAGCTTCTCCGCGATTTTCGACATGGTTCGAATGCTTCCCTGCCGCTTTAGTACATTGTCACTACCGGATCCAGGTACGCTGTTCATCCGACGTGTAGCCCGGATTAACCAAAATAATGCCACGGTAGTAACCATAATCCATAACAGTGCTCCAGTGTACATGAGTCTTGCTGATTGTCCTCTTTCCGCGCCTTTGAGACTTCTGAAATAGAAGTTGTGTTTAAGACCATAGTTGACGGTGAGAACCATGTAATATGCTGATAAAGTCTGGAGAATAATTTCCGCAAACAGAGAAGACTTGGCGACAGAGAAATCTATTGTGTCGAAGGGTTGTAGACCAATCAGCAAAGAGGCCATCCAAGCGGGCCGAGGCATTGAGCACCAGAGAAACATCAATTGGATAACAGGAATATCATCATATCCCATGGTCGCTTGTAGAAGACTGGCGTTGACCAAGTTCGCCAGCAGTTGAAGAGCGGCGATTAAAATCCCCTTGGCAAACCAAGAAGACGGGTACGGAAGCCGTGGAAAGCGAGGTGCGAGCCCATGGATTTCCGCTCCTCGACCGTATACTGCGACAAGAAAAGTAGCTACATTGACAAGGACGAAGCTTCCGATTTTCCATATATTCAAGGGACATTTGCTCCAATTATCGGATGGTTTGATAGTCCATTGCCATGGGATCATGTCGAGGGCGGTGGGAGCGGCCATATGGAGCCAGTTATCTGGGAGACCGCGCCAGTCCTGCACATGGCCACAGAGGTCGTGGAGCCAATTTACATAGTTTATTCGGGTTTCGAAATCCTGGCATGAACCTCCGCACGTTTCGAAGCTCATGTTGTGGCAGATGCAAGTCCTGCTCACTGTGCGCTTGACTTTGCAGTAGCCACTAGAGTCGATCCCACAAGCATCGGTTGCGCAATGTTGAACAAGCCCGGTCACCCGCTTTCCAATATCCATGACAAATGTGGGCCAATGCCAGTCTTCGATAGGGACATAATCGAATCCTGTAACTTTGAGAGAATCCGTCCAATTGCTGGGTAGGGACGTCGGCCCACAGGTGGCACGTACCCACAAGTGCTCCTGCGTCCATTCTAAACGCTCTGATCTTGGACAGATTTCCTCTGGATTTATAGTGAAGGTGCGGCAGAAGCATTCTTTGTCAAAATAGTAGCCATATTCGATGCTACTCCCAGTGAGATTGTAACCGACGGTCTCAAAATCCAGGGCGACCATGGACTTTAAACCTTCACGATATTCCCAAGGTCGATCGGCCCTTCCGGTATGCTGAGTGGTACTTGTGAAACTACAGGAGGCCAGTACATGTTGGAATGGTTCCATAGTTAAGTCCGAAACCGAGCCTGTTAGACATGTTGGTGCACTTTGTTCCACGCTAACTGCCGCATATCCTTTATCCAGGGAGGCCGGGGAGAGGTCTTGCAGCTCATTCGCGTCGCCGATATCAACAAGCCACGTTCGACCGGTTACGCCGCGAATCCACTGATACAACTGTGCTTTGGCGAGTATCGACCTACTGCAGTAGGGGAAATAAGTTTTGACAACGTCGGAGGAAAATGCAGTGCTGAGACAGCTGGTCTGAATTAACCATTGGTGATGGGTGCAGATGGCTCCGAAATGACGGGTGCATCGTTTGCCAGTACATGTCGACATCGTACTCAGCCAGTATGATGGATCTTGTTGAGCAATGCATTGTGGCATAGGAGTCAAGTCTTCAGGATTAACCCAGCCATTACGATTGTTTTGGGGGGTCAGGATACGGTCATCCCCGTTAGAATCAACGCGAGTGGCGTCAAGCACTTCTGCAGTAGCTATGTTAATGTCCAAAATAATAGTACTAATTAATGGGAAGTACCTTTTGCAGCAACGCCATAAAGGCCAACTAGCAACAGCATCAGCCACGAACATCGCGTTTTCATTATGCCGACAGTACGAAGGGTCTTGCGCTTCATGTTAGGTTAAAAGGATTGTCGTAGAGTTCTCTTTGGTTTTGTGGACACTGGATGCTTATTAGATACGATCGCCTCCCTTCGGTGAATGCTGTCGGGTGTGGTGCTTCTTCTCAGGTGCGGTGGATGATAATTTGAGGTGCGGGGTACGGCACAACGGCGGGAGGATCGCGTTCTATTAATACGTGTCTAACAATCATTAGCCGCGCGGCAGCAAGATAGCGTTAGTAAGCACTTCCTCGGTGCTACCATTGTCGCCACATTCAAGAGTGTATCGCAACTAATACTCCACTACACGAAGAATCTAATTTCAGTATTTTTAGTTGACCGGTAAGATTTTACTCTTACCTATACTTTTTTAAGGACAGGATCGCTAATTGCTGTCTTTGTTATGTAGGAAAGATGTTTTATTTATACCTGTTGCATGGTGCTTGCTTTCCGTTGAAATTTAGAGGTACTCAGAGTGACTGAATCTGATTAAACACCGGCAACTCTTAAACGTAGGTGAGTTATCCAGACCACGATACGTCAAATCGGCTGAAGACGTCCCTCTCGGCCTGACCAAATTCACGCATGACCGTATCTCTAATCACCTCAGACCGAAGCACAGGCTTGAAGCTGTACTTGTTCGGAACATATAAAGTCCCTGTACGATAGCCAGTCACCGGGTCTGAATCAATGGGTATCTGGCGACCATCCGGGCCAGTCTCATGCTTAAATTTGAAAGCCCAAATGAGCTTCGAGATGGCTACAAGCAGGTTCTACTCGGCCAAGTTGATGCCAGGGCAGATGCGCCTTCCGGCGCCGAATCCGTAGTGGTCATGCTTCTGCCCGTTACTGCTGGCTGCGTATTCATGAGCGAGCTTGGGATGGTCTCTGTGCCTGTCCGGGTTGAATTTCTCGGGCTCTTCCCAAGTTTGCGGATCCATGTGCATGCCCCAGATGTTGAGCATAATGATTGTGTCTTTGGGGAGAAACTTCCCATCGACCCAGTCATCTGATTCAATGTTAGCGTATCAGGGAAGCCGTTATGGCTGCGAAAATTACCTTGTGTTAAAGACCAAGAGGCAGAATTGGGCGCCAGCGGTGCCCTTCTTTCACAATCATGTTGATGTACGGGAGATTTTTCATGTCTGACCACTGTGGCGATCGGTCTTCACCAACGACTACAGCAATCTCGCGGTGAGCTTTCTCCTGTACTTCTAGGTTTAAAGTGAGTGCCTGAATAATAATTAAGATCAGTGTCGCTGATGTGCCGGAGCCGCCTTCTATGATGCCACCACCGAGGAACTTAAGCTTGTCTCTCGACAGCTGAAGCTTATCCTGCTGGTTCAAGACAATGTCTATGAACGAGCCTAAATTGCGAGTCCCACGCCGCTTCTCCACATCTGTCAGTATTTCCTCATAAAGCGTTTCCATCATGTCTCCGACTGTAAGAGAGCGCGTCTTATAGTTGTCCCAAAGCTTCTCGGGCACGGCTTTCATCTACGGGAAGAAGTTCACCGGCGGCGTGCTACCGACTTCTAGAAGCTAGCCCCATATTTCCATCAGCGTGTACAAGCGCTTCATGTAGTTTGTCTATATATTGGGCGTACGGATTCCAAAGACTACCGACGTTAGATTGGTTCTACACTACCGAAAACAACAACCTACGTATAGAGTTTATAATACTATTGCTAAACCGCTTCGGATACAGCAAATAGTCTTTAGGGTAAAGCTTAAGGTCGTGGATAAGTTGAACAGCTTCGGCGTTCACAATTGGTAAGTGCTACTTGTCAACCATGCTTTCCATGAAATGCTGGTGGATTAGGCGTCGAAGCGTTCGCCACGTATTCCCGTAGAATATAACGAGGAGATGATGCCCTTTGGTGATAAGATCGTGCGTGACGTGGGAAGGTGGTCGGTCGCTGTAAATATTACTTTTCTTATCTATAAGGGCCCTGACAAGTCTGCGATCCGAGATTACGGCCATAGTAGCACTACCCATCTTTAAGGTAAAGATACCGCCGAATTGACGGGCCTATTCATTAAATCTATACGTCGTGAGTAACTTCTACCAAGTCGACTATGGCAGACGAACTTTAGATAAGCATACGAGCGTGGAATTTGATAAAGGTTCCCGATAAACGGCAAAGTCTTCGGCCCTAATAAGGTTTAGTATAAGCTTAAAGTAGCTTATTTAGGCTCATTTAGGTTCTTACCGGTGGGCATATCCTTCCTGCGATGGCCATAGTTTAGCGCGCCATACACTAGGTAGAGCGCGAACGCAAGCCCCGAGAGGATTAGTGTAGCAGACATAGTAAACTCTATAAAGTGGACCAGCTAGAGATAAAGTTAGCCTTCACAGCCAGCGGTAGGTACCAACGATACATGTCGAGGCGATAGCGTCAATTTATCAGGTCTTGCCGCGTAGGGGGGCGATGCCTCGCCAAGCGCGGCATTTATGTAGACAAGGCTAAATGCCTGAGTGACCCCGCATTAAACTGGGTCTCGTAAGGCTAATAAATGTTAGCTTACGCTGTGTTACCGTATAGAGTTGTAAGACCGCTAGGCCATGAGAGTAGGGAGCCATTTTGGTGCAAGTGGCGAGCGGAAAGTTGTAGGAATCCAATTATAAGTTAAGGTTCCGCGCGGGCCGGCGTGGAGAAGAGGGAAAGCGGGAAACCTAAGGGCTTTGTAAGCGCATATATTAATTAATCGGCGACATGTCTGTACAGTATGCAGCAACAATGTTCTAATTAGACCTAGCAATTCAGCGCGTTGACGTCCATCGCCATTTCGTGCCCCCATTTTATGCGGACTGTAAGCGACGACCCCGCCTTCCAGCACACTAATGACGGTTTGCTGATAAACTTATAGCGCCGCGGGATAATGATTTTCCCGTGCCAATCCCTAACTGGACGGTGGAAAATAATCTCTAGTTCGATAATGAAGAAGATATCGGCGTCGCTCTCCTCAGATTAGGCACTCCGGGCTGCACATTCCTCCCGCTTAACGAACAAGCCGCTCTCTAAGATATATGGTTAAAAGAATTCAGCCCTCTAATGTATTCAACATGGGTCCTCTTGTATTAGCGCTCCCGCTCCCTTACTGCCTTCCCTTACCCTATTAAAATTCTGTTACTTCCTTCATTAGAACAGCCTACTATCTAGTGGAATAAAATAGATTTTCTTCTACCTAACTCAATCTTAAAACGCGTGGCAATTAAGCGAGCTATAGACATGTGATTTTTTTTTTTTTTTTTTTTTCCTTCGCGTTCTTCTTTCCCTCTACTAGCAACCTCTCTACCAACGCTTCTTACTTTTAGTCATCTACCCACGACTTAAAAATAGACCTCTTTAGTTTCCAGGAAGACTACGGTGTGCTAGTATACAAACCATGCGCCGTCGCCATCACGCTATTAAACCTCCGTGAACACGTTGCTACTAAGCATCTAGAAGATACCCGCTATGCCTGCATATTTAATCCCTTATTAGCTAATACTAAAAGGCCGGCCGAGGCGCTCGCAGCTCATCTACGGAAGAGATTTACGAAAACTTAATGAGTTAAAGATAAGTAATCGCAATGAGACAGCTAACGGTAGATAGCAGGGTATGATTTATGCGGGAGAATCAGCACTTAGCTATCTAGTAGCTGATGCGGGCGTCCACAACAGATTGAATCAGTACTGACGCACGGCACTATAGGAAAATCATTGAATTGACTATTGACCCACCGAATTGGGTGTAATGTAGGGCGTTGCAAACGGGGGGGGCAGCATATGTTTGTATCGACCGTAAAGCCCAGCCGGTAGGAGGAAGAAAGCCACGGCCGGCACGGTAAACGGAGTACCTAGGTGCTTAGGATTTCCGGTCCTCGTACATCAGCGCCCGCATCCAGTCGCCGGGTTTGCCATTTCGCCATGTCGCGATGGAGGGCGAGGATGGTGGCACGACTTTCAGCGAATTCCGGGTAACGTCAACGCGGTCGCCAGATTGAGGTTCTGTTGTTGTGGTTGCACAGGTCGGTCGCCAGATTGCCCGCGGCCGCCTCCTGCGCGCGCACACAACAATTTATTCACCATGTCCGGCGACACCATGGTCGACGCCTGGCTTACTAAAGTCCTCGCTGCTGTAGCGGCTGCGGAAAAAGCGCCGCTGAACATGGGCAGCGGGCTAGGCTCTGAGGGATGGTATCCTGCGTCTTGTTCTTATCTTCTTGAACCTCCAGCCCATCGGTTCCCCAACGTGTGGTGTATGTATTCGCGGGTGTGCATTGTACGCGTTCGTGCCTGGAGGCTTTTGTGGTGGAGAAGAGGATCGTAGGGCGGTGCAGAGCACCGAAATGTCGCTACACGGAAGAGGGAACATTAAGGTCCAGATGTGACACCCCAAGACCTGTTCCCGCCGAGCCCAAATCGCTCCGCGATCTCCTTCTAGCCTTCTTTATTGACTTCCATTGTAATATCCACGCGCAGCAGGCGAAGGCGTCGGCTCTTCAACGAGGGCTAACACTCCGCTGCAGGCGGCGTTTCATCGTCAGCGGGGTGCGATGTTGGATGATCTGTGAGCGTGGGGAGATTAGTAAGCAGCAAGCATGAGTTTCTGCTTTGCCTGGCTGGGCGCGAAGGCGCAGGCGGAGGTGGTGGTGCGGGAGGAGCTCCCAAAAAAAGTTGTTTTGCGGGGTTTCCCCGGGAGCTCGTCTCGTCATTGACTCGACACGCTTTCGCGCCGCCCTCCCAACACCACGAGCCGCTCTCGTCGGCCACTCTCAGCCTTTGCTGACTTGTGTCTTCTCTTCTGCATATTCTTCCCCTGCAGCAAAACCAGTCATACTCTCCCGACCCGTCGTCCCACTATTACGCCATTTTTTGCTAATTCGTAATCCCATCGGCTCGCCTTCCCGATCAGCAAGCCCCGCACTACTGTATATAATTTGCGCTCTGCTCGCTTTCGTCTTTCTCTTCCCATTCCTGCGTGTATCCTAGGCAAAAATGGCTTCAGAATCCAAAAGAGAACGCGGAATCCGCATTGCCATCGACGTGAGGGCATCTCTCAACACACCCGTATGAAGCTGACATGATCTTAAGCGCGGCGGTACTTTTACCGATTGCGTCGGCAATCCAGGTACGGGGAAGATGGAGGACGACGTCCTCATTAAACTTCTTTCCGTCGATCCCCAAAACTACGACGACGCGCCTCTGGAAGGCATCCGCCGCTTGCTGGAACGCTTCTCCGGCCAAGAAATACCCCGCGGCCAGCCGCTAGACACGTCCAGGATTGAAAGCATACGCATGGGCACCACGGTGGCCACAAACGCGCTGTTGGAACGCAAAGGAGAGGACATTGCAATGGTGGTAACCAAGGGCTTCAAAGATTGCTTGGCCATCGGCAACCAATCGCGCCCGAACATCTTCGACCTGGCCATCCGGAAGCCCGAGGTCCTCTACAAGATAGTCGTCGAGGTCGATGAACGCGTGACACTGGAGGACTATGCCGAAGACCCTGAGCGGCACGAAACCAAGGCCGAGCCGGTGGAAAAAGCTGCGACCGACGCCGAGCTCGTACGGGGCCTGTCTGGTGAGGCCGTGAGGATATTGAAGAGGCCCGCCGAAGATGAGATAAGGAAACAACTACAAGAAGTCTTCGACAACGGTTTCAGGAGCATTGCAGTCTGCCTGATGCACGGCTATACCTACCCATTGCACGAAGCCCTGATTGGAAAGCTGGCCAAGGAAATCGGATTCGAGCACGTCAGTCTGAGCCATGAGCTTATGCCCATGATCAAACTTGTTCCGAGGGCTACGTCTGCCTGCGCTGATGCCTACCTGACGCCGGCTATCAGAAAGTACATCGACGGCTTCCAAAAAGGCTTTGAAGGTGGACTCGGCACTGCGAGTGTCAAACGCGAATCAGGCAGCAAGGGTGCACGTTGCGAGTTCATGCAGAGCGATGGCGGCCTCGTCGATGTCGACATCTTTTCGGGCCTGCGAGCTATCTTATCTGGCCCCGCTGGCGGTGTAGTCGGATATGCCCTTACTTCCTACGACCCCAAGACTAAGATTCCCGTGATTGGCTTCGACATGGGAGGGACCAGCACTGATGTCAGCCGTTACGGTGAGGGCAAGTATGAGCATGTCTTTGAAACCACCACTGCCGGCGTGACCATCCAATCTCCTCAGCTTGATATCAACACGGTCGCCGCAGGCGGAGGGTCGAGGTTGTTCTTCCGGCACGGCCTGTTTGTAGTGGGTCCTGAGTCTGCGAGCGCGCATCCTGGTCCTGCTTGCTATCGTAAAGGTGGACCTCTTACGATCACCGATGCGAACCTTTTCCTCGGCCGCTTGCTACCCGACTTCTTCCCCAAAATCTTTGGTAAGAGCGAGGATGAGGGCCTGGACCCTGCAGCGAGCGAGAAACTTTTCAAAGAGTTAACAGAGCTGATCAACAAGGAGGTTGCTGGAGGTAGCAAGGACAAAGAGATGTCCATGGACGAGGTGGCTTATGGTTTCGTCAAGATCGCGAATGAGACCATGACTCGGCCAATCCGATCGCTCACCGAAGCAAGAGGCCATGACACTTCCAAACACCGGCTTGCCACCTTTGGCGGTGCAGGTGGCCAACACGCTGTCGCAATTGCCGAAGCACTGGGTATTTCTCAAATCCTTGTTCACAGGTACTCTTCGGTCCTTTCTGCATACGGCATGGCTCTTGCCGACGTTGTCGATGAGCGCCAAGAGCCCGAATCCCAGGTCTGGTCGGACGACGACCAAGCGGTGAGGAAGTACCTCCAGCAGAAGATGGAAGAACTCAAGAAAAGGTCGACAGCTACCCTGAAAGACCAAGGCTTCGACGACGAGCAAATTCATTTTGAAGAGTATCTCAACATGCGCTACCGTGGCACGGAGTCTGCCCTCATGGTCATCAAGCCTTCAAAGGAGGATGCGGACAAGAACTACAACGGCGATGATTGGTCGTTTGGCAAGTCATTTATCAAGCAACATGAGCAGGAGTTCGGTTTTACACTTCCGGATCGCGACATCATTGTTGACGACGTCCGCGCCAGAGGTATCGGCAAAACGTTCGAGGGCCTAGAGAAGACTGTTGACCAGCAGCTCGAGGAGGTCAAGCCAAAGGATCTTGAAAAGGGCGACAAGCAGTATGGCACCAGCAAGGTCTACTTTGAGGGCGGCCGCCAAGATACCCCCATATACAAGCTCGAAGACCTTGCGGTCGGTGATCGCATCAAGGGCCCTGCTATTATTGCCGATGGGACACAAACGATCGTTGTCACTCCGGGCGCCACAGCATTACTCATCGATACGCATGTCATCATCAACATCGGCGAGGCTAACAGTCAGGACAAGAAGGTTAACACCAAAGAAGTGGACCCGATCATGCTCAGTATCTTTGCTCATCGCTTCATGGCAATTGCCGAACAGATGGGCAGAGCCTTGCAAAAGACCAGCGTCAGCACCAACGTCAAGGAGCGTCTGGACTACTCTTGCGCTCTGTTCGATAATACTGGTGGCCTTGTTGCAAACGCACCTCATCTTCCAGTTCATCTCGGCAGCATGTCGACTTGTGTCCGGAAGCAGGCCAGTATCTGGAAGGGCAAACTTAAGAAAGGCGACGTGCTGGTATCAAACCACCCCATGTTTGGAGGCACCCATCTTCCCGACATAACCGTCATCACGCCTGCCTTTAGTGGAGACAAGATTGTATTCTACGTTGCTTCTCGCGCACACCACGCCGATATCGGTGGCATCCTTCCGGGTTCAATGCCACCACAATCTCGAGAGCTTTTCCAGGAGGGCGCGTCCATCAAAACGGAGAAGCTTGTTTCTGAGGCCAAATTTAACGAAGAGCGCATCACCGAGCTCCTCCACACTGAGCCTGCTCAGTATCCCGGCTGCAGTGGCACGAGATGCTTGTCTGACAACATCAACGATCTGAAGGCCCAGGTCGCCGCTAACCAGAAAGGCATCAATCTCATTAGCACGCTCATCGAGGACTACGGCGAGGATGTGGTCCAATTCTACATGCAGAGCATCCAGGACAATGCTGAGCTAAGTGTCAAGAACTTGCTCAAAGAAGTCAGCAAGCGTTTCGAGGGTCAAGACCTGTCGGCCGTGGACTACATGGATGACGGTAGCCCAATCAAGCTCAAGGTAACTATCGATGCCGACAAGGGCGAGGCTGTGTTTGATTTTGAAGGAACCGGTCCGGAGACGTATGGTATGCATCAACTCACTGCATCTCCGTTGTTGCGCAAACACTGACGGCAACAGGCAACATCAATACACCAGAGGCCATCACTTACTCGGCCGTCATTTACTGCCTCCGTTGCCTGATCTCCGAAGACATACCGCTGAACCAAGGCTGCTTGAAGCCTATCCAAGTCAAGATCCCCAAGACGTCGTTCCTCTCTCCATCAGACAAGGCTGCGGTTGTTGCCGGCAATGTCTTGACGGTAAGATATGCTCCATCCACTGCTTTGAACAGTTAAAGTTGCTGACGTGCTCGCAGAGTCAACGCGTCACCGACGTCATCCTCAAGGCTTTCCGCGCCTGCGCCGCTTCACAAGGCTGCTGCAATAACCTGACGTTCGGCTTCGGCGGCAACGTAGAAGGCGAAAAGGAGCAAAAGGGCTTCGGCTACTACGAGACGATATCGGGCGGGTCCGGGGCCGGGCCAACATGGGACGGCACGTCGGGGGTGCACGTGCACATGACGAACACGCGGATCACGGACTCTGAGATCTTCGAGCGGCGGTACCCGGTGATTCTGCGCGAGTTCAGCCTGCGGCCGGGCAGCGGCGGCGCGGGCCAGCACCCGGGCGGCGACGGCGTCGTGCGCGACATCGAGTTCCGCATCCCGATGCAGGTGTCGATACTGTCGGAGCGGCGCGTGTACCACCCGTACGGGCTCGAGGGCGGCGAGGAGGCGCAGTGCGGCCTGAACATTTGGGCGAGGCATGTGGGGAAGAGCGACGTGAATGCGGACGCGGCGAAGGAGGGCGGCGAGTGGCGGTACATCAACATGGGCGCGAAGAACACGGCGTCGATGCAGGCGGGCGAGCGCATTATCGTGCACACGCCTGGTGGTGGTGGGTGGGGCAAGGTTGGCGAGAAGAGCGTTGCCGTCAAGAAGCACGATCCGACGCTTACGTGGAAGAAGGGCAGTGTGGCTGGCAGGCAAGAGACGGCAGAGGCGTCTGCGTAGATTGGTGGGTAGACTGCTGAGCTTTAGATATGATGGTATGAGTGATGCTTTTGGTAACGAAGGTAGACGTGCATGAAAAATGAACTTCTGGATTTGAATCACATCCCTTACATTTGACATTGACGTCGTTGATTATTTGAACAATTACAAAGTACGAAAATCGCTATACACTACTAACACACACAAGAGGCCGTACATCTCACGTTACAATCATCGTTCCCTAGGCTTACACCATCTCCTTCATCTCAACGCCCTTCCCACTCTGCGTCTTCGTAAGAACCGACCCATTCCCCAAATCCAGCATACCATTGCGACTCAAATGGCGGCTCAAGCCCTCATCGCCGTCAGCATGGACAGCGCGGCCGGTGCCCAGCTTGGCCAGGCTATCCCTAAGCAAAAGCTCGTAATAGGCGGTGGCGAAGATGGTGGCAGGGACGTTGACGAGGATGCTGATCCAGGCGTAGTTTTTGTAGGTGAAGGCGTCGCGGCCGAAGAAGATGAGGGCGACGAGGCGCGTGCCCAGGTCGCGCGCGAGGTTGGTCGAGATGCTGATGTCGGCGAAGCCCCAGATCATGGCGGCGTAGGCGAGGCCGATGGTGAAGGGGGCGCTTTGCGGGGCGATGAAGGGGTTGGCGGGGTCGAGGCAGGCCCAGATCACGATGCCCTGGGAAGGGTGGTGTCAGTGGTGCATTGGTGCAGGGAGGGGATTTGGGTGGGGGTAGGACAAAAGGGGGGGGGCAACCGTACGATGTACGAGCAGACGAAAAACTCAATCAGGAACAGGTAGCCCTGGTTGTTCTGGGTGGCGCCGGGGTAGGTGCACAGGATGCTGGCGGGCCCGCCGTTGTAGACGGAGCCGAGGCCGGCGGCGCGCGATGCGGCATCCATGGCTGAGATCTGCTCCCAGTACTGGCCCATGAGGACGAGGCCGGCCATGAAGGCGCCGAAGACCTGGCTGAAGATGTAGACGGGGACTTTTTTCCAGGGGAAGTCTTGCCAGATGGCGAAGCAGATGGTTATGGCCTGGGAGTGGGGTGTTAGTGCGGGGTGGTGTTGAGGTTTGTGATGAGGTTGTTGCTGAGGGGGAGGGGTGCGTGTGCAGCTTACGGGGTTGAAGTGCCCGCCGGATGTTGGGCCGCAGGTGATGATGGCCATGGCGATGCCCATGGCGTAGGCGAAGCCAACCTGGAGCAGCGAGCCGAATGCGGGCTCAGTTTTGTTGACGAAGAAAGATGCCGTTGCAGCAATGCCGGGGTACACTGAAATTATGCCATGTCAGTTGCACTTCGGGTATCATTTCCACTGGTATCAACCAACCGTAAAAAAACACCCCGGTCGCCTCCGCAGCCATCTCTCTCAACCATCTTGGACGGCGTTGCTCAAAGTCCAGTTTCCGCTGAGAAACCGGCCTCCGTTCAACGACATGACGCGCATAGTGCTTCTGCACGGCATCCGTGGCGCCGACCTCGAGCGTCTGAAGTCGATGGAGGGACGCGCTCATTATGGGACAGCAAGGGGGCAAATGCGGGTAGATCTGGGGAAGCTGGGGTTAAAAGTGGAGAATGGACATGCCGTTGGGAATGAGTATTTCCGCTTCTTATGGACAGCGGCGAGAGGAAGGTACGGGACGATGGAGCTGTGCCCCGCCGCGCCTCCATGACAATGAGGCGCTTGTGGATGTGGCTAAATGGTCGCTCTTACGATAGACTGGAGTAGCATCTACTCTAGAGCTATTGGTTTGCCGGAGCGTGTTCTGCTGCATTGTTCCAGTGAGCTTTGTGCCATGACAGCCGCACCGTGCGTCATGATGGGAAAGTCAACGGCGAGGCGGCGGACGCTATATCCCGTCGACAATAAACCCGGCGAATCCAGACGCCTCCCACTACTCAAGATTGTGGGGTCCGGTCTTGGGGAGCTTGGCCTGGCGATCGGGCAAAGGTATTGGTTGTGTGGGGCGCCCGTGGCGGCGGCGAGTTGAGCTTCTACCCCGCTTGATGGGTGCGCTAGCATTGAGCCTCGGCAAGTTTCTGCAGACCTGTCTCGATTCGCGATGCGGCGGCGGGGGTGGGATGATGTGGCCGAAGTCAAGGCTTGAGTTGGGTAGTTTCGGCAGTTGAGATGCGGGGACCTGGGGATCGGATTCGGGGCTGTTAGTCCAAAATCGCCTCACACTGAAAAAAGAGGTCTTTTTGCGGCAAAAGGAGGTCTTTATAATGCAAAATCACACGCCTCACCATGAGGCGTTCCTTTTTGCTGCAAAAGGACCTCTTTTTGCTGCAGATTAGCGGGGCGAACACGATTTTGTACGTAAAATCGTGTTACGCCTGTGCATCGTAGCGAGTCAGCTACGATTCACTCTTTCTACTAACTCTATAGGAAATTTTTTTCTAAAAATAATAAAAAAATGGTAGAGGCCTAGATAAAAGCCCTAAAAAAATACTAGTTAGATTTTATCTTTTTAGAAGTAAATATAATATACAAAAAAGCGAATTTCCTAATATATCTAGAAATAGTTACTACCGGGTAGTTACTTTGTAGTAGCCGGCCTAACTTAATTCGGGTCAGTACCGAGGCAGAGAAATACGCACGGACTACAAAAAGAGGTCCTTTTGCAGCAAAAAGACCTCTTTTTCAAAGTGACCCGATTTTGGACTAACATCTCCACGCCAACCATCATCACCCTCGCTTTCCAAGCCCTGTTCAGCTCCGTAACACAACGCGCAGCAAGGTCATGTCCGCCCACCACCATGTCCTCCGCTGGCACCGCTGCTCGCTCCGCCATGGCCACGGCCACGTCCCCTGTTGCTACTGCATTCCGCACGCCCAAGGCCGCCGCCGCCCGAAGCCATTCGCGCGCCCACGCTCCTCTGCACCCATCGCTCCCACTGTCGCCCGCCCTGTCCAGCTCGCCCGGTGATGAGGTTACGCCCGGGATCGACCCGGCCGTGCCACAGCAACTTGGTTTTCTCGGCCTCATCCGCACACTCAAGGAAATACGGCGTGGGGTTTGGAAGCACCCATCGCCGAGCTGGGCAAAGTACCGCCTGTCGGTCTACTAGTACCGTGAGCTGCTGGACCGAATTGAGAAGGACGGCGACGGTGACCTTGCGAGGTGGTTTAAGTATACGGTCCTGCTCAACAGCGCCGAAGTCCGCTTGAACATTGAGGAAGACGACACCGACACTGACGAGCTTAGTCTCGATGCCGACTTGCCGACGACTCCCTCCTCGGCGTCTTCTATCTCACTCTCGCGCAAAGACAAAAGATATCCAGACGTGCAGTACTACCATGAGGGCGCAATCTGGTCATCCCTTATCGTTAAGGTGAGCTACAGCTAGAAGCTCCAGGACTTAACCGCGGTCGCCGAGGATTACATTATTGGCTCGGATTTTAATATCGAAGCCATAATCGGCTTAAACATTGATTACACGCCTCCGGATCGAGTGATTGCTCCAGTCCGCGGCATGAAGGAAAAGCCTCCTTCGTCCAAGAAGGCTTTTGTTACCATATAGCGCCCAGGCTTACACAAAGACCGATTCTGGCGGCAATAAGAAGACCGTGCAGGCCGCTATCAAAGTTAAAAACGAAGTATTTCTTGCACCGATCCTCTCTTTTTATATAACTAACTACCATAGGCCTTCCGCAGCGAAACCGGAGACCATCTATCCGGAACCCTTACCCTCCCACTTACAGACTTCGTACCACTAGCCGCCCTCGACTTCAATATCCTCCAGCCAGCAACGCGAGCCCTCATCGAGGCTACCACTCTCAACATCTCTTACGCAGACCTTTGCACGGATCTCGAGGCCGCAGAGAGGGTACACGGGCGGGACACAAGCATGGATAGAGGGAGGAAGAAGCGAACACACGAGGCTGCAAGGTTGGTAGAGGAGGATAGGCGGGCTAAGAGAAAAAAGAAAGAGGAAGAGAAGATAGACAGAGACGACGGGGCTTACTACATGCCTTAGATCCTGGCCTGCTACTAAGTCGTCATCCTTATTCCATATCCATCCCCTTGTCACTTTTATTTCTATGTTAATTTCCTTCCATTAATAAGCCGTTACACACCGCGCCGCCTAATCGCGACGCGCCACTATTACGGACGGCATAACGCGACACGACTTACGGACTACGATGTCAGCACCTCCTGCACGACACAAAATGTGGCACTGCGTTGCTACCATCTCCAATACAAAATGGAACGGCACAGCATGACATTGTACGGCCCGGTATGACCTGTAGCACGGATCGGTGTTAGCCCAGTAGATCTTTTTTATTGCAAACAAACATGCTTCTTGTATTTTAGATACCCTAAAATAGGCCCAATTAAAATTTTGTTTATTGATATGCAGCTGCTTAAGAGTGTGAGAGCAAGGCAAACCGTGAGAGCTCTCCAAGAGGTTGTAGCAGGTGTTGTCGCGGCTTTTCGTCAGCTCGATCTGCTTCAGCAGTAGCCCTCCTGCCTTCCTCGTCAAAGCGAAACTTGTTCGCTCCACGACCGCCTTTTACCGCGTGTGGACCCACCCCGACCGCTTATAATAAGAGCATTAACACCTCCGTAGCTCAGCAGTATGGGAAGCAGCCTAAGAACGTTATTAAGCAACAGCCTTAGTAATAGACCGAGAAACAGGCCATTACTGCCCTATCTAATTTCTCTAGATTCTAGATTCCTATCCTACGCCAGCGCCCTACGCGATTCAGCCTCGGGTCAAACAGAAAGTCGAGAAAGATGTTGCTTTTTAGGGTTTGTAAAAGGCTATAGCTTGTAAGCAGCCCCGCGCAGATAAGGGGCGGGACGCAGCGGGCGCGCCGGGTAGGTAGGCAGCGATCCTTAATAGTTCCTTAGCCGGGATTTCTCCCTAACCCTCAGCGCCCAGCCATATACACCTTAACAAAAAAGCAAAGATGTCCGGAATCCCTGCTCGATATCAGCAAGGGGAAGAAGGGGGTATACGCTATACCCCTATATTCATCCTCCCCCCGCGACCGCCCGCTTATCGCCTACGAATACCATCTACACTAGTAGCCATTTTCGCAGCTTCTGCCACATTTAGGACCTCGCAGCTAGCCTAACTCGGGAAAAGCCATTTACCATAGCCGCAGATGGGATAGGCGCATCGTGCTAAAGCAAAGCCAGCAATACCACTAACAGCGAGCGCAGAAGCTCCCATTGGGCTCGATCGAGGGTCAAGCAGGGCTACGGCCCGTTCCCCGTAAACCTAACCTATAAATAGGAGTACGACCACAGATAACAGTATGAGAAGTAAGGAAAGAATGCTTCCGCTACGAAAAGATCTACCACCATAGCCTTAGCTTAGCTACTCCACTTATATACCAACCCTTACAGCGGTATCCCCACCCCTTCAAGCTCTTACTACCATATCGTAATACCGTAGTCTCTAATGCGCATTCAACCGTCATCTACTAGCCGTTGCGGTGTATTTACAGCGTAGAGGTGGGCTGGAAATGCTACTACGCCGCTAGTATAGTCTGTAACTGTCACGGGTTTCTAGCGCGTTCTATCCAGTAAGCGCTAAGTTGATAGTTTATCGTTGTTTGCCGTTTGTCAGTTGTTGTTTGCGTTTGTCTCGCTCGTTATCTCTCGCTTAGCGCCTACCAGCGAGCCACATATATGGCCACCGCCTCTCGTTCTCTTCCTTTCCTCTTCGTACCACGTCTTGTAGTTAATCCTACATAATCCAGTTTGGATCCACCTCACTGCCGTGACAGTAACCTGCCTGCCTACCAGGACTGGAACCACAGGGACGTAGGTAGTAGGCGGAGCGGATACGGGACGTAACGCGCGTGCGAATCAGTAGTAGAAGCATAGGAGTGGCCTACGCCGCGGCGGCTTGGTAGTAGGCTGTATTACGCACTACCCTGTACTACGCCGCGGTGTAAAGAGTCGATACCGCGCGTGTCGACCCCTCCTCTATCGAGCGAGCGCAGCAAGCCCAAGGCAGCGCAGTCTGCACGTCTAAGCCCACGTTGCGCGTATCTCACGCCCGCATGCATATTATCGCCCTAGCACGGCCGGCTCTTCGTCGCTCTGTAGGCTCGCGCGATTTATCTCGCTCTGCTTTGTACGGTCCTGCGATGCGACGCAGACGGGAAGGATAGAAGCCAGGCGCACTTTACGTGCGGAATGCGAGGGTTCCGCTAAGCCGGGCTGAGACGCCATTCCTTCTATCACGAGTATAACCAGTAGCATCTCGACCTACCCACTCCGCGTGCCATAAGAGTCCTAAAGGCTGTTGCGGGTAGGGACGCCGGCGCTACAGGTGGAGGTTGCGTCTAGTTTATTCGCCCTGGGCCTGTCAGCACCTCCTTCGTGCTTCTGCGGCGCGCGTGCTGGGCTAACTTTTGGCTTGCCGTCGGTCGCCGGAAGAGGGATTTGAGCAGTCTGAGCACTGCGATGCGGCTGCCGACGCAAACGTTGGTGCTTGGGAAAGCAGAAGATCAGGTCGGGCGATCGGTTGATTGTGCTGGTGTGAGGAGAAATGGGCCGCGCTGGCGAGACATGGCCACGGTCGCGCAACCGAACAAGCAAGGCTAAAACCATGTGACGTCAGCGGTAATACATGGCCTAGTCGCTGCGAGCGAATAAAGAAGCGGGCCAGCACAAGCGGATCGCGTATTTTCGATGAAATTCGAAAAGCATCTGCGCGGTATAGGAAGCGACATGATGCGACCGGTGCATCCTCAAACCGCGACTCAACACCATGCGACATGGTAAACAGAGGGTTTGGATGCGAATACGTGGCGAGTGCACGGACGATGAGGCAGATGCGGGGGCGGAAGCTACGCGCGGCAGATCGCCGGCGCTAGCAAGGGTGTCTAGGAAATCGCGAGTACATATATATCGAAAAAGCGAAAGTCTTGGCATACAAAAGACTCTGTGGCTGACCTGGTGCGCTCTGAGTTCTAATCTACAAGGCCAAGGGTTCAAGTCCCGGCTTTGGTGGGAGTTTCTTCCTTTGAGGTTAGGCGAGGGTTCCCAGAATTGAGAGGCCCGTGTGCTGACATAATCGCAGCGCCGGGTAAGAGGGCTGTCCGGCAAAGACCCGTCGATGATGGG